TGTCTCATGCCCGTAATCCCAGCACTGTGGGAGGCCAAGACAGGTGAATTGCTTGAGCTCAGGAGTTTGAGACCAGTCTGAGCAAGAACGAGACCCCTGTCTCTATTAAAAACAGAAAAACTAGTTGGACACTGTAATGAGCACCTGTAGTCCCAATTTCTTAGGAGGCTGAGGCAGGAGGATCACTGGAACCCAAGAGTTTGAGGTTGCTGTGAGCTATGATGCCACAGCACTCTACCGAGGGTGACAGAGTGAGACTCTGTCTCAGAAAACATTTCTACCCAAGAAACATCCCCCCAAATCATGATCCGATACTCCCACACACTTATGAGACTCAAGCATCTAAGAGACTGTGTTTTTAACACTTTTGAAACATTTTTGTCAAAGTAAAGAGTATAGTGATATTGGCTGGTTTGTCACTGGACACAGTAGGGTAAACAAAAAGAATGAGCTCAGAGATTTGAATTCTCAGTGCAAAGACCACTTGAATGACCTGATGGCTATGCCTGTCTTGATTGATACTCTCATCATCTATAGCCACTGGGCCCAGATTGCTGAAAATCAAACCCAGAATCTGACCCTAACAGCTAAAAATTAAACCAGACTCTCATCCTAATACAGTGTAAATTGAATTCCAGTCTCATGGAATGTCTTGTCTTCAAAAAAGGCCTTGACTGGGAAGGAGTAGGATGTAAAACTTGGCATCAGGAGGTGTGGGAAGACCTTGATGATGCTTGGCACTGAGCCGCCGAATACTGATTAACCTTTGTCTGTAGACACAGCCTCTTTGCCCCCGTCTGAGCATATCAATGTTGCATTGTCTGAGGAAATGGTACTGGCCTCCCCTGATGCATTTGCCATCCAAGACAAAGCTAATTCTCCTCAGGACTCACTTCTAATCTCCCTCTTTGCTTATATACCTGTAAGGAATTTCAAGTCTTAATAGGGTTTTAAGGTGAGATATAAAGGGTAACTTATGAGGAGATGTGCTATGCTCTAAATTAACTACTTAATTTTCTAAGTTATCCATCCAGAAATTTCAGGATCACGTATGAGAATGAATATTACTGGTGGGGGTTAATGGTCGAAGGAGCACAAATTTTAGTCAGGCTAACATTATTGATATGGGATCAGTAATCAGAGAGTCTGCACTGAATGGTGCATCTTTTGGGGTAGAAATGGTTCTGCAGTGTGTCTGGTTGATTGACAGAAATGTGGAGTAAAAGCTGGACAACAATAAATAAAATGAAAAAGCCAGGCCTGCCTTGGTTTACCACAGAGGAAAAGATTCAAAGAGTTAGGGAGATTGCAATGTTATAGAGGATTTATTGATTAAGACTTACTCAGCCATACCAGAAGACCCATATTTATCTTCTAACAATGTTGAGAGGATAAATTATGAGGGTGCCCAGGTATCGCTGCAGAGATCACTGTTGCTCTTCCTGTAGGTGAGGCCCTACAGTGGAAACTGCAGACACTCAACTAGGAAACCTGGATGCCTTGCAGCTAATTCAATCCCAGAGTTTCAGGGTCAAGTGGCAGAACTCAACTACCAAAGGCAAGGTGGCTGTGGACGCTGTGATGGACAGCAGGGTCAAAAGCAGCCCTCAGCATGGCCTGACTCCTGCAGACCTCTGGTGTCGGCTAGCTGAATGTGGTGTTCCATGAAGTGAAACACACAGATTGGAAATACACTGAATTCTCATTGATCTGTGTAAGCAGAAAATTTCTAGGTCAGGTGTGAAAAAAAAATCTATCCTGAATTATAAAAATAGAAAACCACTGTCCCTTAAACAATTCCTAGGCTTCAGCTAGTTTATAGACTCAGACCCCCTTGAGTGAGAGGGCACACTGCAGAACCATTTCTACCCTAAAAGATGCAAAATTCAGTCATTCAGTGCAGGGTTTCTGCTTAGTGAGCCCCTTGAGCACACTGCTCCTGATATACTGCCAAGAATTTACACTGTAGATTTTTTTTTCCAGTATCCTCTAAATGACCTATGGCATTTTACCAGGGTAACTGTGCACTTGGGGAATGGAGATTATCAGACATATTGGGTACTGTTGGATACTGATTCTGAACTGACTCTAATTCCAGGAGACACAAATCATCACTGTGACCTCCAGTCACAGTAAGACCTTATGAAGGTCACATTGTTAGTAGACCTTAAAAAGCTTAAGTCTGTCTCTTTGTGGAATCAGTGGATTCCCAAACTGATCCTGAAACTACATCCCTGGTTCTGGAATGCATCATTCAAATAGACCCTACAACTATCAGAATCCCCATGGTGTTCTTCTACCTATGGTGTGAGGGCTGCTCTGGGGGTTTCCCTGTGATCAGCTGAGAGAGGAAGGGACAGGTCAAGGATGATTATTGAATGGTTCTCCATGATGTGCAGGCACCACCCATGGTGGACAGCTAAGGCTAAGATATCCCTTTTCTGGGGTATCTCTGAAAGACAGTGGTGACGTGAAATCCTCCCAGTGGGAAGAACTTTGATCAATGCATCTGATCGCTCATTTTGCTTGGCTGGAAAAACGACCTGGGGTCTCCCAAGGGACCATTGCCTGGAAGTGGGGAGCTCCTCTATCCCCAGAGCTCACCAGGGTAAGGAAGGGCAGTGAGGTCATGGTGCTGCTTCCAGAATTGCAAGAGAATAAATGTACATTGTTTTAAGTCACCTAGTTTGTGATCTCTGTGATGACAATCATAGGAAATGAACTCAGCTTCTGGCAGTGAGGGGAGTGTGCTAGTGTCATAAATACAGTCTCTGAAGGTGCAGCAGCAAATTTAGAATTGTGCAATTGTAGAGGCTGAAAGTATTTTAAAGCACATAATTTTAAAAAGCTCATATTGCCTTAAAGAGACCATTAAGGCAAACATGGTAACTAAGGATGAATCATTGGAGAGAAAAAGATTTTGTTTTAGACTAGAGGAAAGTTGATCCAAGTTGTTGAGTTCCACACTGGAACTCAAGGCTGGCATGATCCTTTTCTTTCTCTGGGATGCCATGCCATTCTCTGGCTCCATTCTCTCCCCTACCCATCTTCCCTTCTCTTACTTCCTGCTCTCTTCTCTCTTTCTTTCTCATCTCTTTCCTCCACTCTCTTCCCATTCTCTAGCATAAAATAAACTTATACTTTTATATTCTAGAAACAAAACCCAACAAATAGCATCTTTACTATAAGGATGACAGCACCAAGTCTTGTTGAGACTGTTTCTCTTTTCCAAGGTCAAGCACCCAGTAAATTTCCATCTGGAAATGGAGTCAGGGCAAACCTGAAACCCAGAAGAGCACCACCTGCACCCAGGTGCCTTTCTCTTCTGTGTCATCCAAGAAGAGACAACAGACACAGAGTGTTGTTACATCTGGACCCAAGCTCTGAGTGACCCTGAATCTGCTGCCAGTTAAACCCACCTCTAAAATGGTGCCCACATTTATATTGGGTGTCTGCCTTTATAATTCATTTTCTTTGAATGTCGTAGGTTCAGAAACTCATATGGTGATTTAAAATATTCCGTTGCATGTCTTGCAATGTGGCCCTTTTTTTCACCTGGGTAGTGGCTCCATTTCTGATTGAACAAAGGTTAAAGTGATCAGGCAGGTGGAGGTCATGTTGTGAGAAGAACATAGTGCCCACCCACACTGTTTGCTGCAACATATCAGAGCCACGGTGTTTGCCCTTCAGTGCCTCGTGCAGCCTGTGGCTCTCAGCACCATGCTTCAATCCCAGATCTCTAAACTGATGGCAAAGAAAGATAGGTAATAAAGTAGAAAAAGGCCATTTTCCAGTTAAAATGGCTACTATCAAAAAGAAAAGTAAAGAGCAGATTCTGGCAGGGAAGCACTTGTACACATTG